GCTATTGCGATGACTTTAAAACCCCGATCAAAACAGAATGAATCGCTGTTTAAAGCCCAAGCAATGTTAGGCCATACCTGCACTTACCTGCATCCTATAGATATATCCATTGTATGTTATATTCGTCAACGTGATAACAACGTTGAATTTTGATTGATATGATTCACCAGATACGAAGTTAGTCATCCAGCCTTCGGACGGGTCTATAGCATCATACCGATATTGGTGCTGTGTTGTTCCGTACTTGTTTGTCAAGAGGAGTGGCCACACTGAAATGTAGTAAGTGGTTGCAGATATACTGTATGTGAAAGGGTTTATGGCAAAACGAAATAATTTCACTTCCGATGGACAAGTACATAATGGAACACTGGTAGCGTTTTGTGAGAAGATGGTACACATTGTTGGCAATGTTTCAGTGCATGGTACCACCTTACATAAATCATATCCACAGAGCGACCCGTCCATGTCTTCGTACACCGATTCCCAGATCCAGTCGTTCCTTACGCGAGAATCAACATTCGTAAATGTCAGATTCTGAGTTCTGTACATGTATCCACCACAGAGAGAGTCACACTGTTCTGGAATCCTAGTGATAGTCAGTGCCGAGCAGTCGGGTTGGTCAAAGTTAACAAAACTGACATTACGAATGGTGAATCCAAACTTGTAGGGAGATACAACACCTCCATTCGTGCACCCCTGTGATGGCATACTCGGAACGTAGCCAACGATTAGAGAGTTCTCAACTAATGGTCCATCGTCAGTATACTGATTTCCTTCTACTACCATTTTACCTTCGTATCCAGCGTACACATTATTTACAGCAATCAAACCCCTGATATGTATGGCTCCCATATCGGCTATCTCGATTCCCTTGCGACAGTTCCACACGTACATATTATTTATTACTGCAGCCTTTCGAGATGATGAGAATGAGTCGAATGCATACATCACACGCGGAGTATATATGGGGTAGATCCATAAGCCGTACCATCCTAAGGAATGTGCAGTGTTGTTGTTGAATTCACCGAGAGGAGTATATTGCGGTCTATGCCTGCCAGTTAAAGAGGATATTGCGATATTTTCCAAATAAATCCAGTATCCAAAGTGTGTTCCACCAGCAGCAACGTTGTGACGAAAAGTGTTGTTTGGATTTGTGATCCAAAACGTTGCTGCTGAGATATCATCGTTCAATAGTTGTGAGCTTCCTTTCACCAACACGCCAAGGTTGTATTGAAATAGATTCCCAGTCTCAGTTCCATCTTCCAAATATATTGCCGCACCATTTACGTTGTAAATCACATTTCTTTCGACAAGAAGGTTGTGTGTATCACGGATGTTGATAGCTCGATTAAACGTGTCGTGAATTCCACATCCACGAACATACGACTTGGACATGTCACCAGTCACATGGAAGTTGATAGGATGCCGACCAAGACGGAAGGCTTGTCCGACGTGGACGAACTCAACGAACTCTATGCGACTTGTTGTTAGCTGTTTCGTTTGGTCTGTTGTGTGAATTATTACGTGTGCTCCAAACTGGTCTTTTCTATTTCCTCCCTCCTGTCTCCCTTGAAAACATGTCGAAACCTCGAAATAACCTGCAAGGTAACAGATGTGTTGCAAAAAAATAAACAATAATAAACAACATAATTTATTTTAGGTATTTTAGTATGGTTGGTGAATATATTTTCTGAAATCATTTTTTTTTTTTTGTAAATACGCTTCTAAAATATTTTTACCATTTATTAAGTTTGCCAGTTTGACGATGAGTTATTTGTTATTTTCGTGATCATCTATAAAAAGATGCATTATCCATACAAAGGTTCATTCAATTCTTTTGTATCGTAGCGATGGAATATTTACAATGACTTCTCAATATTTATTGATATCAGGAATCGATAACAAATAGAACATCGACAGGTCAAGAGATGCTAGTCGTGACTGTCAAGAAGTGAAAGTGATCGGCTTAGGATTTGTGATTAATTTAGTATAGGTTAACACTTATGTATCCGACAGGAACACAAAATAGAGCTCGAAAGTTCTCAACCAGTCAAAATCCATGTTTCAATTTTAGTAATAGTGACCTTGACCGGGGGACCTGTTCGACAGGTTTATCACCTGTAACATTAACGAAATATTAAGACCTCTGAAGTATGCGATAATTAGTTGGAAAATGTATTGACGGACAGACATACACCGTGATTACTATGGGTCATGCACAACATACATGTAGGCCCTAATTAATATATATCGCATTAAAACAATACCTGGATCAAAGCCATCTGGACAAGCTGTGACCTGCGAAGAGTCTTTAAATCCTCTTATAACGATGTTACGAGTCAGTAAGCCAACCTCCGCGGAAAAATTAAGTTCTCGACCCTCAACGAATTCGGAAATTCCATGGTGTTGGTTTGTCAGTGGGCTATTCAATGTAATGGTCCTGTTCATGGCAATCGATGTTATTGTGGCTGTCTCGCTTTCATACTGTGAATTGATACCACCCGTCGTTGTTATCAATATAGTGTCACCTTTCTGCCAGGTGACTTTGTGTTGAAGCGTTATTTGTGTGTCTCCAACGGCAGCCGACGTTGCAAGTTTTGTCCAGGTAATAGGAACATGTGCCCCTAAAATGAAATTATTAAAGTAAATCAGTATTATACAGTATACAGTGTGGATTCGTTTTGTTTTTGTATCATTGACGGCCCACCAACAATGTGAGTTATTCAGGGCAAAACAACACTGTTTAAATAGATAAAATGCAGCTATATAGGAGAGACATTTAGTTATAATCGAACTAGGATTTGTCGTGAGTATGAGCTCATATTATTCATCAAAACCGAGTAATTGACATTTTTCTTATAACTGCCTCTTTGTCATAAGGTTATTAATATTGACGCCGGTATTGTAAGTGAAAAAAGAAAATAAAGTAGATTGCCTTAACAGAGAGTATGAAATGACACAAATTAGTCACGGAGGGATTATATGGATTTTTGTCAAGTACATTGCTGCAGCGAATAGCAGCAACTACTGTTATTCATTCCCGCAGTGTACAAGAAAAAAGTCCGGAACTCCAGCCTACACACAAACTTCAAAAGTGCGACTTCCGCCGATCAGATGATTTTTTTGAAACGAAATTATTTATCTAGAATCTAATAAAAAAAAACACTTGATGTTACTTTTATTTTTGAAAGTTGATTGTATTTGATGTTGTTTGCATTAAACAACGCATATTATATCTTTGAATTTTTTTTCGAACAGCGACGTATTCATCTGCGAGTTAACGGAACGAAATTGGCAATCGGCATTATACAAGTTCTGTTTTGTCGCTATATGTATTGTTGTACGTACATAATGTTATTAGATATCCGATTTTTTAGATGAAATATAATCTACACTGTTAATACCCTGTCTTCTATGCAAGGACGGACAACATTTTTTCGCGGAAGCATTCAAATGTAGCTTAGTGTAGATGCCATATTTAATCAAAGCCCCAAACGGGATACGTTTAGACTTTAGCAACATTGAATGGTTTTTGCAAACTAAAACTAACTATACTACCTGTAAACGAGCGAGATCGGTTTATCTAAGTCTCGGGTTAAGATTATGTAACTTCCCAACTTCGGCTTACGCCTCGGTTTGGATTATGTTATAGAATCTTGGCGCTCGATTTAGATAACCCGATATCGCTCAGTTACAGGTAATATGTTTTATTATCCCTATACAGAAGAAATGATACTTTATAAATCAATTACTACAAACATCAAAAAAGGAATAACCTATCTAAAACTAAAATTCTGGACGGAAAAGGTAGTAAAACAAGGCATCACAAGTGATACAAATCCCCTCGCATTCACACATTGTGACATATATAAGAAGAAATGAAGTCGCTAGAGCGATGACAAAGATGGTTTCTAAAAATAGTAACAGCGACATTGATCTTCAACGTAGAAACCCGAAACGAGAAACTGTTCACGGCATTACCATACCAAACAGTTGTATGAAGTTTCATAAAAGTCATTGAGGAGAGAAGTCGATAGAGCGATGACAAAGTTTTTCTTAAGTTAGTTTAAATGACCTTGACCTTCAACGCAGTAACATGAAACGTAAACTTGTTCAAAGTATTGCAATACTCAATATTTGTAGAAGTTTAATGAAATTCCATTGAGGAATGAAGTCTCTAGAGCGATGACAAAGAGTATAACAAACATACGTACGGGCGGATTCCTATTTCTACTCGAACTTATGATACATTGGTAACAACACTGAGTTGTTTCTGATATGAGGTGCACGGTTGGATTACAATGCGTTACTGGAATGGGTTATCGACTACTTGTAGCTGTATACTTACCATGCAAGTCTAGTGTTCCTTCTCGGACAATCAGTGATTTTGTTCCATATATCGGCAACTCTTTGGATCCAACATGCCCATGTAATGTTATGACTGCCTTGTGTTGGAATGGTACAGCCTCTGTACCAACCTTTATCGAATAAAAAAATAAAAGTTATAATATCTTTTTCGCCTGGAACTTGTTTCTTATTTATAGACGATAAGGCTACATTAGGACTTCTTTTACTTTGATCTATCTCACTTAACATGGCACTGATGTTCCACGTTGATGAGCATTTATAACTCTAAAATAAAAATATTGTTAAAGTGCAAAAACGGAAATTCGTCCCCTGAAAATTGTCTTTCTTTTATAACTTGCTTTTCAGAAGTACTCATACTTTGAACAACACTAGTCTAGTAACATTTTTGCTTTATAAGATAATTTAACCTTGATGAAAGTTGAATAAACGTGCTAAAAATATAAACAATTTCTATGTTTTCTCTGCAAGTTTTTATTTTTTCACTATATATACCATTACCTGCAGCAAACCTCCATCTGTTATCAATATGTTTTCAGCCTGCAGTTCCACATCCTCTTCATCAAAAACAAGTTCCCCGCCTTAAATGAATAAATTGTGCTAAAGATCATCATTCTGATATCGTCGGCACGTACTCCATTTGTACGTTATCGCTAGACAAGTATCCGATAACATGTACTGACTGTTGAATATTGACAAAATCATATATCAATATCCTTTTAAAATAAATATTTAACTACTGATAATAACTTTTCATTTTCCGAGTTTATATATAATAACATGAAAAAGTATATCTTGCCTTGTATGAGGAGCATTTTGAGGACCGGTGTATCTGTATCGAGTAGAATGGTCTGACCCTTTTGAATGACCACGATGTCTCCGGCTGTGGGCAGACCAAGATCAGTACCTCCCCAAGTGTACGCAGATGACCACACGTCCACAAAGTGGAATCCCGCATTTATCTTCAATAGATATGAACATAATAATCAGTATAACTGAAATAATTTAGATGATACTAATATTTTGATGTTACATGCCTCATATCAAATCACATTTATCGTGACCAACTTGTATTGCATTCTGCATTCTGTAAGAGTTAAAGAAAATACTTATAAAGTACACTCTGTTTCGTTCGATTTGTTGTTCATTCAAAATGAAAGAAAAGGAAGAAGCGCAATGGACCTTATCGCTTAAATGTCATTTAACGCTGTTGGCAAATACATGTTATAACACTTATCTTTGAAAAATAGACTGCTTTATAAATTCCCTGTTCAGCTAAAAGCAATGCACTAGCTAATTTCAACGGATTCTTTCGTATATACAGTCAACTCATCTTTATTTCGATTTGATATCAATGCAGCGCAATCCTGATCTCGTTGTTTTGGGCACATGTATATGTGCATGTTTGTACAAAATCGACAGCAAGCGAACTGACACAAGAGGTTTAATATTTTAATATATTTTATAATTGGAAAGTAGGTAAGGAGACAGGCGATTAAAGATAATAGGATGATTATCGCACTACACCGAGCATAGTGCAGGCAAAATACCGTTCACGAAAGTTTCAAATTTGTAGGAAATTACATAAAGGCTCAAAAATGTTAACCCCTGTGGCATTGAAACTGGGTTAGGGTATTTTATTTGAACAGCTTATATCTCCTCTGTGTTAGTGGTCATTATCATGTCATGACCCGAGGCGTCTGTGTTAGTCAGTAGACGTCAATTTAAGGAATTAACACATTTGACCCATACGACAATGCAATAAGATCAAGCTCAGTTCTCTGAATAAAATGAGGAACGTTTTTGACCAAATCCAATAATCTTAACAACTTTTGGAAAACAAAAGAACGTTTTCACGCATTTGACATGACCATTGTCATCTGGGATATTCAGCAGCATATATAACGGGATATAAACAAGTTATTGATATTAACAACCTATAGCCCATGTTGACCTTTGATATCGGCCAGCGCTCAACCTAATACATTTTTGGAAAAACTTGCTGTACTACTCAATATATCAAGGTATCGCGGGTTTAGACTTTACCATTCTTTGAATTCTTTCACATACTGACCCCTGTGACTTTGAATGTTGGTCAATGTTATTGTCTTGGTTTTGTATTGTATTACACTCTGTACAATACACTTCTGACAAGATATTTCACTTTTAAAAGAGCCGTTAGAAATAGTAAATGGAAGGACGATGGACGCTGTACCATACCACATTTCCCTAGCACCTGAACTTTCAACTTAAATAGCTCATTAGCTCTCAGTACCTCCTTTGCCTTTCCATTACAGCCTGTCTCCAGTCTGACAACAGCCCTCTCCGACCTCGAATGAGCCTCTGTTACACACACTACCTGTGTGTTTGTCCAGGACGTGATGTTACACAAAGTTCCAGCAATCGTCACTGAAGACGTGCAGTCAAACGTTGCAACCTGTGTCGACCTGCGAGAGAGAAACAAATCCGTCATTCTATTCGAAATATATAAAGACGGCGTAGCTAATAGCCGTGTATATAATATGGAACACCACAATGACATGTAGTTTTCCTGGTTGACTAAACGCCATAAGTTGATATGAACGTTTAAATTAACTGTATAAATAATAGATAAGCAAGAGGCCCAGGGGGCCTGTATCGCTCACCTTGTTACTTAAGCAATCATGGCACAATATTTACATTTGCTCTGCAATGCCAATTTGTAACCACTTCAGACAGGTAGGGTAAGAACTTGGAAGCGTTACTATGGAGACTTTATAATTCATAAAGAATTAAAGTTGTTACTATTACTAGCACATTAGTTGGGGTCGAGATAAAAAGTATGTGATGGCTGTTCATTTGTCGAATTGTCTATATAAACAATACCAAACTTTACCCCCTCCCCAAAGGCAAACGAGGGACCTGGGGCACATGAAAATCACAAAGTATATAAACCACTCGAAGGCCATTACAACTATTAGTAGTATTTGATATTAGCATTTCTGGAACTGCAGAAGATTTTTGAAATTCGCCTCCTTTTCACCCCGAACCCAGCCCCCTAGGGGTCAGGGTCACACAAATTATACCAGCAGACCTTCCTCCCCTAACAAGTATTTCTGTCAAATATGAGCAAACTCCGTTCAAAACATTTGAAGATATGGCCTATTATGCCCATTTCATATATAAACTATACTAAAATTTACCCCCTCCTCAGGGGCAAACGGGGATTCTGAGAGACATGAAAATCACAAATTTTATAAACCATCCAAAGGCCTTAACAGCTATGATCAGTATTTGATTCAAGCGTTTCTAGAACTGGAGAAGAAGATTTTTGAAATTTCCCTAAATTCCCCCCCCCCCTTTTCGGCCCCTTACTCAGCCCTCTAGGGGGTCAGGCTCACACGACTGATACCAGCAGACCCTCCTCCCCTAATAAGTATTTATCTGAAATATGAACAAATTATTTTCAAAGCAATGGAAGATATGCCCCGTCATGTCTATTTCCTATTATAAACTATACTAAATTTTACCCCCTCCTCTTGGGCAAACGGGGGCCCATGGATACATGAAAATCACAAATTTTAAATGTAGCATTTGATCCTAGCATTTTTATAACTAAAGAAGAAGATTTATAAAATTCCCCCCCCCCTTTTAGCCACTAACTCAGCCCCCTAGGGGGTGAGTCTCATACAAATTTTTGCTCATGCAATCCCCCTCCCCCTAACAAGAATTTCTGTCAAATATGAACAACTTCCGTTCAAAACAATGGAAGATATGGCCTATTATGTTTATTTCCTATATAAACTATACTGAACTCCAGCTCCTCTAACCGGTGGTTATGTGAATAGAGAAACAACAAAGATAATATGCATACCCAAAGTTTGATCCAAATATTGTGATGCGGGTTCCCCCTGCGGTGCCTCCGCGTTTAGGAGTTAAGTAATCAACAACCGGGGTAGTAGCATCATCATATGTGTAAGCATCCAAAAGAGTTTCAACAACGCCATTGACGGAAACTTGGACGGTACAATTCTTAGAAAAAGAGCCTATTAAAACAATTTTGAAACAAATTTATTTTCGATCAAACGTTTAATACGTTTTTTAAGGATTTTCATCTTTAGAAACATCATTTTCAAAATAACAAAATAAATTATTGATTAAATATAGAAATGTCCTTCATGTTTCATCTCGATAAAGTGCATTACAATATGCTGTTTAAAATGTCAAGTCAGTCACCATATGTAATTTTGGTTTCAATTTTTTTTATTGTATTTACAAAAGGATGAGACAACAGGCAGGTAATTTGCTTTACACTGTAAATGTATTATTCGTCAAATTATACCTAGTAAACAACGTTTTACACTACCTAAAGAATGTGGCGTTTTGCACACATATTGCGCTGAATCTGTTGTAAATCCCAATGACATGTAACAAATATCACCACAGATAGTAACAACCATTCCGTCGTCAAATCCCGTACCGGATAGTGTGACTGTCTGATCTCCAGCTAAACTGCCTGAACACAACACGAAAACATCTGTATTTTAAAAGTTTGAGGAAAAATGGTCAATCTTTCAAAGTTTACACCTGTTTGTTGTAGTTGACTTTGCAAAATTATTGATTTGGGTCTATGCCAGAACTGGTAATCAATGGCCGTTCTAGCATAACTAACCCGACAATTTATTCGTGGAAATGGTGGTTAACTTGTTTTTGACTAAGGCAAGAAGGGATGCAAATGGGCGATGTGGCATTAATTTGTCCACAAATATCTTAACCAAACGCACGAGTTTTGCGACACTACTCAAAGAATTAACGCGAAATACATTAGGGTTGTCAAATTACATGCACATAAAGAAAGAAGACAGGTTCATATTTTTGTTACACATATGAATAATTCATCACAATTCGGGATACGCTTTTCACTGAAGAGAATGGTTTTACATCATAAATATATGGTAGTTTCGCTTACCTGAATTTGGTGAAATCGACTTTGCCGTCATGTTAAAAGTAAAAGTAGCATCATCATTAGAGTCTCCAAAACCGTGCACATTCACGTAAACGTTGTATGTCCCTGCACGGTTACTACCCACAGTGCATTTGATCTCCGTATCTTTGACAGAAGTTGTACGACATTCACTTGCCCCTACAAAAATGTTTGTCTGATTTAATGTATTTCCCAGATTGAAGCCGGTGATAGTGATGTTTTCATTTCTCGTTCCTGAAGACGGATTGACAGCAAATATTTTTGGAGAAACGTTGTCAGTGAAGTTGAATGTTTGCACGGGAAAAGTGACACCGTTAGCTTGTATAGTCACAGCTTTCACTCCGTATAAGATGGCAGGAGTTATGAAAATCAGTGATTTTAATGTTGTGTTTTTAACCTCGCACGATTGTCCACCTACTTGAACAGTTACGTCTGAAGAAAATCCATTTCCAGCAACTGTGACGTAAGTTCCTCCGTATATGCTTCCCTCTTTTGGCAGAATTGCTGATACTGTTGGTAAACTTGTCAGAATAACATCACCATTAGTATATAACGCCCGTCCTTTATCGGATATATCCACCACAGCTTGATTAAGACCTAACGGTAGATTAGTCAAGGAGCAAATAATTTCAGAATCCGACACATTTATCACTAGACAATCATGTTCCTCTAATGAAGTCATGCTCACGTTTACATTATGCGTTTTATCTCCAAAACCTGTACCAACAATAGTGACCAAGGTGGTGTTTTCACCTGTTATGATGCTGGGGCTGATATCAGTTACTGTTGGGGTCACTAGGTCATCGTACACAAATTGACATGATTCATCGCAGTTTGCAGGGATGCGCGTGTTGCTGGCGGTTTGGATAACGACGATCACTTCGCGGTGTCCAATACTTGTGGAACTCGGTGTTAAACAGACGATCTGCATATACGAAATCGATACTATACCACATGTATAACCACCGACGGTAACTTCAGTCATGATGCTGAGGTTCCCATCCTCAAATCCGGTTCCTGATATTGTAAGTCGTGTGTGACCACCTCGGGATCCATTTGTTGGGGAAAGGAATCTTACCAGTGGAAGCAATGTAAACGTTTTCAGAAGGTCTGAATCCAAGTTCACTTGAGCATAACCTTGACCGTTTACCAGAAAATTAAGATACTGTGGTCGACCAACCCGTGGTGTATTCTTAACAGTAATATTACAAATCAGAAAGGACACTGAACTCGAGGAAGACTCACACAGATAATCTCCAAATGCTACCTCATTCGCGCAGCTTACACCAGAAAAACCATCACCAGATATAAGTATTTCGTCATTAGTGGTACCGTTCTGTCGACTTACTGCTTCGATTACTGGTGTTCTGCATGTCCAGAATGCGAATGGAATCTTTGAACTATTTGTTGATTGAACTGGGTAAGGATCAGAACAGTCATTTCTGGAGTCAGTTGGATTGATGCATGTCGTGTTATCTGTATTAATAAATTTTATAAGCTATAATAAGCTATAATAAAGATGGTCAAATACAAACCACATATACAAATGTCCCGATAACACATTCATTTGGGAAATAACTTTAAGGATATGTTTGAAGCGTAATTGCTTGACATCATTCTTCCGTCAAATCATGTTAAACTTATGTACCTTTAGTTTCATCCATCAGATTATATCCCCTGGCCCGTGCATTTATCCTGATATACCAATATGGTAGAACAATAACGAATTTAGCTACAGCAGGGACAATATAACACAAGACGTAATCATAAGACATTAGGTCAAAGGACACATGGAATTTACGTCGCCTACACTTTTAAAACATTGTCTGTGATCGATGGACTGGTAGGATGTTTAGAACACCTTTGAACTCCGAATTCTAATTTCGAGTCGAATTATCAGACGACATTAAATGTGGGTGATATACGAGAGTCTGAATGCAACACCATTCTATCCCAATCAGTTTTGCCCAATTAGATTATGACTGTCGGTACATGAATTAATATCAAACGTCATGTTAACAAACCTGGTGTTGAGGGAGTCTGCCCAGTAGTCGTTATGTTGTAAGTTGCTTCAAAATTTCCTAATGATACAGTGACATCAGCCAGGAAGGATGTTCGATCTACCACTTCTACAGATCCATGGAACCACGTGGTACTGTACGGATCAATTATTCCACTCCAGTAGTAAAACTTGCCAGCTTTACTGAACTCACGGGAATACGATCCTGGTAATTATTATAATAATATACAACTTGTATATTGCGCCTTTTATAATTTGCAAAATTACTCTAAAGGGCTTCACAACATATGAATTGTAGTAATATTTATAATTGATAAACAAAAAAGGCATACAAATCACCATTTTACATTAAGTAGGAAGAAACGTAGCTTAATATGCATATAAATGAATAGGTAAAGGGTGGTGTTTACATGACGTATGTGCAAAGAGCCTAACATGTAGAGGTGAGGAGGTGGGTTTTTATATCCTTCTTGAATTTGACCAGGGTTTTTGGCTTTCTAACGGCAGACGGTAATTTATTCCACGGCCGAAACCTTTCCAAAGAACCGATTTTCATAGGTCACGGAACGAGATTTTTGGACAAACAGCAATGAGTCGGTCTCCGACCGCAGTGATCGTGACGGCTGATACAGGATAACAAACTTCTGTAGGTACTGGGGAGCTGTTTAATTAAGTCCCTGGTATGTATACACCAAAATTTTCTACTGCGACTGGTATCATACAGAATACCAGTGCAATGAATATAGCTCAGATTGAATGTGCTCTCTGTATCGAGTACGAGTAACCTGACCTGGACAGGACCCTCTGCAGACGACTAGATATGTCACAGAGCAGGGCATTACCATATCCAACCGAGAAGTAACAAGTGAATGCACCAAAATCTTGCATGAATATGCAGCCATACACTGCCGGATACAGCCGATGTTCCTGATCTGGTATTAAGAGGATTTGGCAATAGCGGTCACTTGTTTCTCCATGTTTTATTTTGGTTCTATTTTGTTGAATGTCCTAACAGCACATTAACTCACTAAGGTCATTTAAATACGTGCCTCCCTGTATGTTGTGTATGCGTGATTGCGTGTGTGTGTGCTGAAGACAATGCATGCTAGTGTATTTGCCATCTTGTTATTGCGCGGATCTGATGTAGACTTTAGAGTGCTACCTCACTAAAATACAATGATGTATGTTTGCGTGTTACATAAGCCATCTAATGCTGAAGATGGTGTGTTGGTGTATCTGACTCCTAATCAATTATTTTAATATCAGTAACTACCCAATGTTTTTTATTGTCTCCATTCTAAATAATAATAGCTGGCTGCTAAGATAGAGAAGGATATTAGAAGATGCGAGCATCAACATTAAAAACTTCCACATACCTGAAGATGTACCAACACCACTACTAAACCCTCCAGACTTTCCATATTTTGTCGTAATGTTGTAAGTTTCTTCAACCTTTGGTTTCATTGTCGTGATGTAGAACGGGAAGTCCCAGTCCCAGCGCACGATGTCGCCTACCAGGACCTTTATATGCTGTGGACTCCAGTAGTAGTACTTCCCAAAAGCTTGAAGAAAGAATACATTTAATAATTATTAACAATAAATCCTTTTAATGTAAAATTGAAAGGAAAATAACTTCACTGCAGTTCAACAGCGACAATAAGAGAAACAAAACTTATCAGTTTGGGAGAACATACGATTGACTGGAAGGGAATATCGATCAATTCCATGTTTTGCGGCACTCCTGATGCATTCTTTGAACGCATCCGGGACAGCAACAACTTTTAACTCAATTTAGGCATAAGTTTATTCATGGCATAGATATCATGCTTTATGCAATCATGGTGACTGCTCTTCATTTCCCCGTGCTAAGCGATTGGAAAAACAAAATGAACAAATATCAATCATCATTCATGCAAAGTAAAAAAAGGTTTCAAATAAAGACATATACCTGGATGGTTCCCGAGGTTGTTCACTCTATGGACATTTCGTGTTCTGGCGATTAAGCAAATAACCTGATCATCATTCGCGGATGTGACATCACATTCATGCGTTCCGACCTTAACTTTGACATCGGGGGTAAATCCGCTTCCCGTCAAAGTAAGTTGGGTACCACCGAATAAAGAACCGCTGAGAGGATTGACACTGGTCACTTCAAGAGTACATGTGATGGTGGGTAGTTCGTTTGAACTGGAATTGAAAGGTTTTTCTCCATTATCAGTGGCATAAGTGGTTCACCAGTTAAAATATTTTAGATGCAGTTCGTGAAAACCTTTGTCTTACAGGTAATTACATTGCCCTTGTCATTTTCATGAAAATTTAGTGTGATTTCAATTAACTAGCACGCATCGATATGTATTAAAACTTGACAGCTAATCATAAATGCAAAATATCGATATTAAATATTAGCTTCAGCATGAACCACAAAATAGCATCCTGAACACAGACTCGATTCCACAGTTATATTAGCATTGTACACAGGATAAAGGCATATAAGTAACAAATATCATGATTTCCGAAATGTTTGCATACGAGGTAAGGGCGGCACCATTCTCTCCAACGATAATTTTCACGGGATGACTTCCTGAAGAGCAGGGAGGCAAAGATGCAGTTAAATAGCTGTTGTTATGGAATGTGATGTTGATTTCCGCTAGACCAACCAGTAACGTCACAGTGTCATTTGCCTCAAATCCATCACCAATTACAATAAGTGTATCTCCACCTGTAAAAATCAACCATACAACACTCAAATTCCATTTGAAACAATCAATCAAGAGGACATGTATCATTCGTCTGGATATGTCAGTATTATAAGCATTAGTGAAAGGATTCAAATCTAGTCACTGATGCTTCATAGCCAAACTGGTCAAGAGCCGAATGCATGCGTTTAAGCTAGGGTTTGTATTTCGTTTTTTCATATAATGACCAAACATAAGTCCCCATGGGCGGCCCTGATCTTTGAGCTAATCCTCTTAGAATGCTTGTGTTCTTTCTTCATGTCCTTTCATATACATGATGTTATGTACAATTTAATTGGGCTAAGCACCATATCTCAGTTTTGGAATAAAGACACTTTGCAATACTGGCATACACGCTATATCAAAGCATCATATACATCGACCTTATGATTCTTTTGAAGACGTTGATTTAACCCTCTTAATCTGAAAGTATCTCAAGGTTATATACCTCTTCCAGTCCTTGTAATATAAGTACCTGTGATCAAAACATCAGTACCTTAAGTTTTTAACTTATAAAAAAGACAGCTGTTCAAAGTAAGAAATTGACAGACGACGGACGCCGCACCATACCTATGCCAGGTGAGACATATTTGCAGAATGGTATGTGTAATGATAACATATATATTTCATTTGACAGGTTGATATCTTACTTAATACCCTTGTTGATTCTGGTGATATGCTTGTCACTCTAGGTGTCACCGACTCGTTGTAAGAGAACTGCTTATCTGCCATTACTGACAATACTCCATTCTGATGTACTGTTACCGACCCCACTTCTGCAACACTCTAAAGCATGTATAACATGTGTTCACAGAAAGAAATGTAGTAGTAAATTTGCATCTGAAAACAAACTACTGGCAAATGACTTAAAACATTGCAACTTATTTTGTAAATGAGCTTTAGCATTTTTTCTGCGACAATCTAATATTTTTAAATATTGAAATATTTGCATGCAGTGTAGAATGTTTTCATAAATATATCTTAAGTTAGGATCTAATATACCGCAGAAAGATGTAACAAAGTATCATTGACAATAACTGCACTCGATAATGTAACTTCAGTCGAACGCTTTACTAGGCTTATTGTCAGGTAAATAATATCAACGAGAAAATTACTGTTGGTGGTAGTAGACAGACGATTCTGGCTGTGGTAACAGACAATATATCACATGTCTTGGATCCAACTGTCACATTGGAATTCCCACTGAACCCTCTACCATTGATAGAAAGATTCACCGAACCTGGAACATGGATTGAGAAATATGGCTCTGTTATTTTACAAATATTGTTTTGAATATTTTCTGGTATCTTGTTTAGACAGGGTCTACAGCTACACAACGTTTTGATGAACTATTAACATGTAAGTTTCGTATATACAGTAACCTCCATTTGATCTGATTTTTTATATAAGTATAAGATATTTAAACACGTCCGTTGACCAGGTATCTGTGATAATAATAAAAATATACATCATTTGATAAAGCGCCCTATCTAGCTAACTTAAGCCACCCTCAAGCGCTTTACAGTACATAGATATACAATTTATACAATCGATACAATTAGCATATACATAAAGCAATACAATTGTGTCGATTATATTGTCAGGTTATGAACTGTTTCCAAGCAATGTTTGTAATATTTATTCACCTGCGTTGATTCTAGCGCATACAAAAAGTATACACATGATCAAAGTAAGAACAGTTAAAAAATGTTTTTGCAAATCACCTGACATACATTACATGACTTCTTAAACTGACGTAGTAAACTAAAGTAATCAAAAGATTCATACCTCCTAGTCCACACATAGTTGGTTTTATTCCATCAATTTGCGTACTGAAGAAGATCGTGACGTTACCGTCTCCATACTTGGCTAACCCGCTCCCCAGTACATCTACGGCTACAGTGTGTTCACCACCCGTTACATTATCTATATCACATGTGATCAATGTACTGGTGGCCATAGTGACGTTACAAATGATCCCTCCAATCGTCACGATATTGTTACTCAGGTTGTCGCTGAAACCATTACCAGAAATATGTGCAGTAGTGTACGGCAGTTCTGCAATATAAAAATAGAATCATCAATGTACAATGCGCAAAATAATTTAAAACCGTAGCACAACCAACATCCATTTTCAGCATGATAACAATTCTAACATTAGCGACTGGTGATGAAAGTAACGAATTATATAAATTGGACCAGGTGGGCTTATAACAATTCGTTCCCTTTAGCATCCATTATATTAATTCCTTGATATTAAAGGTACATGTCAAAATTAAATGTAACAGCCTTCTCTGATACGAGTGATGAGTGTCTGCTTTGTAAAATATTTGCTATTATCATTATTGGAATTTCTACGGCGTTATTCTATGTTAAATTGAGGCTGAATATGCTCTCATTAAGTACCTTGCACGTGGGTGATGTTGTTTATCACTGGCGTACTTCCAGATGACCACTCGTAGGTACAACTCCCGGTACATCTTGACGGAACATCATTTATAGTAACAGTGACCTTGCATAAAGTCAATGAAAACGAAGTAAGGGATAATTCATAATGAACATGTTTTATACACAAATAAAGTTTTGGCAGCATTCACACTTCCCAGTATGTAATCTTAATTTGTACATTTATATAACACTACCTGGTGTTTGCCGTGGGCTGTCTGTAACATTTCTCCATATAGAGGGTCGATCCTGTATTCTCCGTCCCTTACTGTGTGCATGTATGCCGTAGGATTAATACCACCCACTAAAGTGGCATTCAACTAAAAGAAACAAAAAAGAGATAAAAAAGTACTGACTATATTTTAAAAGTAATAACATATGCTTCATTTGTGAACAAATGAAAACCATCACACATCAGATGCGTTTCCTTTACGTCTTTTTATGCATATATTTAAATAATGATACTTACATGAATTTGTTCCAAATTACCCGCATAAGTGTCAAATGTGAACATCAAATATCGGTTGAATGGATGGTCAGAAATACCAGATTGCACAACACCGATATCGTCAAATTGCTCCAATATTGCAGTTATATCATCCGATCCAATGTCTACCGGTATTGCTAAAAGACAAGTAAAAACAGAGAGAAATACGCTTTTAACTACACTATCAATCAAGTAAAAAACAAGGTTCAACAGCTAAAACAGCACAGTCAATAATCTGAATCATCATTCTTATACATTGAGAGAATCTCCTTGGAATCATTTATCGCATTTGTAAATGAATTGTAGATTACGTACATTTCAGTGTTTGACCTCTCAGGGTCAGATCAAATGTGCCGGATATGGGAGCCGTCGCGCTGGCAATTCTTGTAAATGATATATTTGTATCTGGTGGAACCTGTAACAATCAGAAAATTGAAAAAAACTGTTCTATCTGTTAAATATTACACCAATTTTATTAGGTGATCAACTTACCAAAACTATCCTTTGTATTATTTGGTTTATTGCTTCAGATGCTCAATTTCTTGGTGCAGTTTCTCCTTGCACGGTCTTTGTTCAGTTAGTTTTTTTCTATTTAGGTTCAGCTATAATTTTTTTTAATCCATATTTAGTACACCTTATATCTGCTTCGGACGCTGGATATGATGTGATATTTTTCGAAATTGTGTACAAGTATATTATCAACTTTTTTCAGTATTTTAAACCTATTAACTCAGAAAGGTTCAAAAGTTTGAAACCTGTATAAATAGTTTCTGAATTTAAATTCCATTTTGAATTTTCTTTATATTTGAGAAGTTATTGTTTAAATGATTTTGTATTTTGCTCCGATCTGAAGCTTTTTGATGTTGACGGTCAAATCATGTACAGACAAAACATTATAATAACGATTTTTAGGGCTTTCCACTTTATTGTGAAAAGTCCTATTGTTTTTGTTAAGTTTCTTGAAAAGACCTATTTTTATTGTTATTATTCTTATTCTTCTGCCATAATTTCTTGGAGCCTTAATATTTTGATCGGTAGCAGATTTTTCGCAGTTCTTCAAGAACATTTTTTGGACATGGTTGGAAAATGTAACTAGAACATTTTCAAGTAGGTACAAAATTCAATATGGCCACCGCCTCCATGACTTCATATGTCAAAATCTAAAAATGATCATAACTTAACAACTATTTCACAGCATTTATGCACTTATATTATTTTTTGAAGATGTTTTTCGGGGCTAACTTTGTCTTATATGTTAATACAAAAAAAGGTCATATAATTTTTCAGCTTGTTTTTCAAGTGTTTTGAAAAATCATATTGTGTAGCCGGTGTGGAATTCTTTCCCAAAGCTTTTAACGTCTAATGCCATTTTTAATATTTCCTTTCATCTTTTTTGAAAAGCCAAAAACATGTTTAAATATTTTTATTCAAGGTCACAGGGGTCATACATCTCAAAAACCAACTATTGAACATATGTTTACTGCGTAGAGGAATCAACATCGATTGTGTGGACAACTCGAAAACATTTTACATCATAAGCTCCACTAGTCATTTGTCTGATGAAGGTGACAGTATCGTACATAGACAATCTTATTTGTTGTGTAAAAAGGACTTTTCATAATAATGTACAGATTATGTTAAGAAAATATATTATGTTTGTGTGTGAGTACTGAAATGTTTTTATATCCAAGAGAAAAAAATCTACATAAATAATAAAGTTTGCAAATTAAAAACAAAATAAATATACAGATAAAATAGATTATTGCATGAAAAAATAAATATATAAATTATAATTTATTAGCCAATAGACAAACTTCGGTATAAAAAATAACAAAGGACCATATCTCTATATATAGTGGGGCACGAGACACGATTTTAGATTGCGACACTCCTACTTCCCAAGATACATTAAAACTATAGCAAGGTTGGTCAACGTAGGTGAAATAACATGGAGCGTATACTCTGGACAAACTTCGGTATTAAACATAAACAAAGGGCCATAACTCTGTGCATAGAAGGGCACGAGACATATTCCTAGTGCACTGCACACCTTCTGTGGGTGATGCAGGAATACTTCAAGTTTGGTTAAGATATCTTTAATGGTTTAGAAGTTATGCCGTGGACAAACTTCGGTATGAAAAATAAACAAATGGCCATAACTCTGAAATAATGGGGCACAAAACCTGCACACTTTCTGTGGGTGATGCAGGTATACTTCAAGTTTGATCAATATATCTTTAACGGTTTAAAATATACAGGTCGGACACGAATTTACTGAAAATGTTGCACGTATTTGACATTTGATTTTGAGGTGAAGGTCACAGCGATCTAATTCCAGTGCACTGCACACCTTCTGTGGGTGATGCAGGTAAACTTCAAGTTTGATTTAGATATCTTTAATGGTTAAGAAGTTATGCCATGGACAAAATTCGGTATTAAAAATAAACAAAGGACCACAACTCTGTATATAGTGGGGCACGAGACATAGTTCTAGTGCACTGCACATCTTCTGTGGGTGATGCAGGTATACTTCAAGTTTGATTAAGATATCTTTAATGGTTTAGAAGTTATGCCGTGGACAAACTTCGGTATGAAAAATAAACAAACGGCCATAACTCTGTATATAGTGGGGCACAAAACCTGCACACTTTATGTGGGTGATGCAGGCATACTTCAAATTTGATCAATATATCTTTAACGGTTTAAAATACACAGGTCGGACACGAATTTACTGAAAATGTTGCACTTATTTGACCTTTGACCTTGAGTTGTGAAGGTCAAAGTGACCTAACTCCAGTGTACTGCACACCCTCTGTGGGTGATGCATGCATATCGTAAGTTTCATCAATATATCTTTAACGGTTTGAAAGTTATGGTCCGGACAGTCTGCGATTATAGGAACCAGAAGAAGAACCAGTACTAATATAATATGGCCCCACCTCCCAGCCCCTAGGGGTGAATCATGGCTGATATGTGCATATCATCAAACTGATATACAATACTGATGATGCTAACCCGAATTGAATTAATTCCTATAGAAATTAAACAAATGTTGATCGAAAATGTGATTTTCTTATTTAAACTATAGTAAAGTTTACTCCCTATCGAGGGGGAAACGTGAGACCCCAGGGTCATGAAATTCACAATTTTGGTAAAGCACCATAAGACCCCTCAATCTATGAAAATTATTTGATTCTACCATATCTGGATCTTGAGAAGAAGATTTTTGAAATTTTAGTCAATTTGATACTTTTTGGCCACTGGGGCCCTGGACCATATAAATCACAATTTTTGTTGACCTTTGGCCATGGAAGGTTTTTGCAAACTTTCATTGAAATTGATTCGGGGGTTATGGAGATGAATTTGAGCATGTAAATTGTTAACGGACGCATTACGCACGACGACGGACAAAAGACGATTATAATAGGTCACTTGAGACTTTCAATCACTGTTCGCATGGTCTGATTGTTTCGTAATGACACCAGGGTAACCATAAACGGCAAGTTTCACTTTATAAAATATTTATACTTCTATCTCTGTGTGTGTATGCTTTGTTGTTAATCTTATTGAGGTTTTTTTGTGGGTTTCGTTTACGTCAAGTAGGTAGGTCCTGCGCTCGACTCATTATGTGTATCGGGGGTACTTCCTGCGAGGTTCGAGAGGTACAAGGCCCCTGCTTAATTTAACTTTGAGTACGCCGTTAAGAATCATTGAAACCTAGCAATTTTACAAGTCGTTTATTTTCTTTTAATAAGCTGAATTAAGAGAACACATCATACATAATTTTCGATATTTCATAAAATGGTGACGTTTATTCAAATAAGTATTTGAAATATTGAAAAAGACTGGAACACAGTGTTATTGTTAAGCCACGAAAGGAAAACATTTTAACAAATAAATTGAAAAAATAATTAAATTGAATAAAAAAAATAAAGAAATATTTAATCAATAAAATGAAATAGAATTAATCAAAGAAATAATTAAAAAAATGCACTAAATAAATTGTGACAAGTATTGCTTCTTGACTTAAATGTTAACCGTTGGATTAACAAATTAAATGTTAGTTACAATCCGTCTGTAGGGATTCGGTGGTGTTTTGTTTATGGTGAATGCATTTTAAATGGATAAAGATGATGACAGAGGAAAATATGGTAAATGAGGATATAATGGGGAATAGTATAGATGGCGTCAAGATGGTATAGGTGGTATGTAATGGTAAAGGTGGTGTTGGTTGACATTGGTATTACATTTGGTGGCATTGGTGATGTATAAAGGTTTATTTGTTAAAGGATGTATAGGGGATATAAGTGGTATAGGAAGATATACGTGACTGAAGGAAAGGGGTACTGTAGGAGGGCAAAAGTGGTGTATACATATGAATGAGTATGTGTTTAGGTGTGCATGGTGGTGTATGATGATGGAGGGCAGGGAAAGTTGATTATACGTGGTAAAGGAGGGTATACATGTGTAAGAGAATAGATGGTAGAATAATAAATAGTTGTCTTGGAAGGTGTAAGAGTGTAAATATGGTAAAGAGGGTAATATGCATTGTAGGAGGTTATAGGTGGTATAAGAAGTATAGGTGACGTAGACGGGTATAGGATGTAGGAGACACAGGTGATGTAGGACGTATAGGTGGTTTACACGTGTATAGGTTGTGCATGAAAATATAAGTTGTGTACGAGGTTGAAGGAGTGAAAGAGTGTAAAGGAAGAGTAGAAGGCCTGAACGATGTTTGTGGTATAGGAGAGTATAGGTTGTCTAATAAATGAACCGACAAGAATCACTCCTAATAGTTCAACCTCTATAGATATTACTAATAATACTAGATTCATTCAAAATACATGTACAAGCCCTCAGTTATGTAGTGATCACTCTCCTATACATTTTACAGTCTCCTAGTCTGTCTATAAACAAAGGTGTTATAAGAAGACTATATTACTGTATGATAATGCTGATTTTGACCACATGAATAGATCACTGAGAGATATTGACTGGATATTATCTTGAAAAACTACAGAGATCCCTGAGTGATAAATCATTACCCCCATCTAAATGGTGGAAAATAGCTAAGTCTATATCTAATTTAAATAATAAATCAACTAACATTCCTCCTCTTGATCATAACGGTATATCTCTTCAACATCCTATAGATAAAGCTAATACACTAAACGATTACTTTACCTCAATAGCAACATCCTCTCCTAATCTTGACCCACTGCCACCTACTGTAAATAACTATCCTTTTCAATTAGAAAGTATTGACATATCTGAACAAGACGTAATCGACTAACTTGAACTACGTAATGATAATAAACCAGCAGGGCCTGATAGAATTATACCCAAAGTAATTAAAACACTAATACCCTCAATATCATATCCACTAACATTATTATTTATCAAAACGATGGAACT